GCGAAGCAGTCGCTACTAAAGGGGCGGATATCCTGGTTTAGCTGATTCTTAAATTGAAAAAAACTCCGGTTTTACATATTACGAATTCCACAGATCAGATAGGGACCTTAAGCTCGATTTTATCAAAAATGCTTATAAAAGTACCAATAAAAATTAACTACCAAAGCCTAGTCCATTTCGTCTTCATTAGCAAATACCAGCGTAATAAGACTTACTTTATCCTCTACTTCAGTACCAAAGGAATTGAGAAGAGTTTGGAATTGGGCCGTCATTACATTAACACGCGTTTTTAACTCGGGCAAGCAGTCTCTAATGTGGTGCATCAGGAGCTGCAAAAAACAGAATTAAGACAGGAAATTGCAGCCTAAAAATAGGCCTCTGGTAACAATGAATGAAAGCTTAGAGCATTAAAGCTTTAAGTATCACAAGCTAATAACGCGACAATCAAGTGAAGAATAACATCTGTCACCAAACACCATAACACAAAAAGTGTCTTTGAGCAATAATGCCTCAGAATCCACATCCATTCATGCTTAACCTCAAATGCGACTGCCTGATTACTTGATAATGAATAGGGGTAAAGTCACAGAAGCGCAAGACGTCAAATATCTCTATCCTGCTTACTCGATTTAGAGTCTTGGTAAGGTAGATAGTACCATTTCTGCTTGCAAGTGAAGGGTAGCGACGCTGCAGGAAGGAGGCCTCATAAGCCAGGGCATCAATGATAGATTTATTGGCATTTATATCTGCCTGAGAACGATTAACCACGCCAATAATTCCTAATTTAACAGGAACAACTCGGTTCATCAAAAGATCGTGGGCATCCGTCCCATGATCCATCAGATCCAGCTTGGTAAGAACACAAAGTGTTCGCCTTCCTAGGAATTTAAAACGAAATAACCAAACTAGTAAATGCTATTGACCCTACTCCTAGCCCTAAAACTAATGAAATAAACAAAATATGTTCAAAGTAAGGCTTGACGCATCTAACAAATGGCTTAGACGCAAGGCCATCCTATTGACTATGGTAAATTCAAAGTTACCCAAGAAACTAACTGAGTATTATTTGTCAAATATCAAACCTTCAGGGTCGACTTCCTTGGCGAGCTTTAACGACTCGCTGGTTGCCATGTCAGCGTTAGCAGGGGTAACTGCAAGGATTATACAATTTGGATTGCTAATATAGTGCAGACATAACGCATTGATTTGATTCTCAATATCCTCCGGCTGATCGCCGACAGGAACCTTTGTGATGCCTGGCAGATCAACTAGTGTCAAGTTGAGGACCTTCGGACTATATATCTTCAGGTGTATCGCTTCAGAGCTCACCATCTAAAGCGATATAAATGGGGATCTGGCTTGACGTTGTTTATATTCTGGACACTTTGGACAAAACAAACATTATCTCAAAAATCCTAGAATAGAGACACCAATTTCATCAATAAAATAAGCATTGTGACATTTACATGCAAGTTGCAGTAATATGAAGCAAGGCTCAGCAAAAAAAACGGAAAACATGCTCACCTTCCCATTCCCAACTAAACGAGCAGTTTCTTTCGCAATTTCCTCACGGACTAGATCAAAGTCGACAAAAACCTCACTCTTCTTGTGAAGAAATTTAGCCCATTCAGTAGAAACACCATCCCCTTCCTCCTTCCTAACCACATCTTCGCCTTCATCTACGTGAACCAGCTGCAAAACCAATGGTCGCCTAGTGACAATCCCAGAGCCTCTTGGAAGGAAGTCCCGACCAACAATATTCTCCAACACCGAACTTTTGCCTGAACTCTTCAGAAATCAAGTGGTAATACTCGGTTACTTGGCTACCAATTACTACAATCTGGGGTAGCTGAAGAGACTCGCTCCCAACCGTATTGAACACATCCTGCAACTTATTTATAACGGGAATAAGAGTCTCCATTTAAGTAGCCTACCCAGTTTAAATAGTTATACTCTTAGTCAAAATATTAAAACCATTAAATATAATAGTTATTAGCAGGGCATATTACCAAAAAAGAACCATTTATTAGCAATAAAAAAGTAGTTTGTGAACAGTAGTGACGAAATCGTTATAGATTTTAAAACGCATTATATTTTTAAGCAAAATGGTCTAATACTCTGCATTACAATCACCATTAAGTGTGCTATGTTCTAAGATCTAACGATTTTTTTATTCGTTATTTTCTCGAAAAAACTATGCTCACCAAGGGGATAAGCTGACGAGTGTAATACTTCGTTCATATGGTCACCTGATGTCTGTAAGCTACTTTGACCATTCGTCTGGTCCTTGTGCACATGAGCTGAGCTTCGGACCATGCCCAGGCCCAGTTTATCTGTTCACCTTGGAATGCATGTATTCACCTCCACATGCTGCCTTCCTCTACCCGGTAAGTTTCGGAACCCTACACTGAGTCCCTCATTGCAGCATCTCGAAACTACCCACCGGGTGGAAGAGGGCAGTGAGTGAAGCCAGATACATGTATTCCAAATAGGATAAAGCAACGGGACCTGAGTATGGTCCGAAGGCCAGCCTAAAGTTATCGCCAAAACGTTATTTGGCCACATAAACAAAGTATTACACTCATTTTCTCCAGAATTATGCTGTGCTGCAGCACCAAATGTTGACAAAGCGAATGCTGCTACTTCTCAGCAGCAAGAAGGACGCATTTATTCAGACAGAATGCATACATTCTTAGTCGAAAGACCAGCTCACAGGACGTTTCCCTACGTGACCACCGGACATTACAACTACACCTTTGTGCAATCCTTAGCAGTTGTGACTTCGTCAATTTATTTCTATTTTATCTACTTTACTGGCTGCAATAAATAGCATTGGCATGTGC